TCAACAATAACTAGAAGCGATGGATCTTTAGGACCAATTATTCATCAATACGGAAGAAATATTATTAAAAATGTAAATATTTCTAATTCACTAACAAGAATTAATTCGGTCTACACTATTTCAGGAAATTCTGATTTAAATGCAAATGTTTCATATTCAACATTTATTAAAAATACAGCTGTACAAAACAATTGCTTATCACATTATGCATATGGCGCTAAGATTCACCATTGCAATATTATTTCAAATGAATGTAGTCAATCCCAAAATAATGCAGTTATTTCTGCATCTGATAATGTCAATATTTTAATTATAGAATGTATTATAATATTCAACACAGGAAATTATTTATTTTATTCAGATTATGATGCTTCAATTGCAGTTTCTTCTTGTTTCATCCAATTAAACTATAATTATCAATTAAATAATTCGGAAAATGTTGAAATATCAACAATTGATTCACTAAATATTGAAAATTCACATATATCCACAGCTCTTTGTTATCCGGCTTTTCCAATGTTTAATTTGATGAATATTACAACAGATAAAGCAAAATACAAATTTGGAGAAGATTCAACTATAACAGGAAAAATTTCATTTGATCGAATTAAAGAAGAATCATTCACACTTAAAGTTTGGATTGGCAACCATGATCCATATCAAATACTAAATAAAGAAAGTGGATCTTCAACATATGAATATTCAATAGATACCCTCTATTATTTCTCCACTGGAAATTATATTATTTCATCCAGTGTTATTAATACAAATGGTATTGAATCAAATACAGTTTCAGTTGAATTTGAATATGAAGTTTCATTTTTTCTTAATTTAGAAGATCTTGAAAGAAAAGAATACAACAAAACACTTGATAAAAATATTACAGTCCGAGGAAGTGGAATTTACTCACATGGTGATATTTCTATTAACTGCAGTATTGGAGATGTAAATAGTACATTCATTGGAAATATTAATAAGAAATGGATTACACATCAATTTAATTTGTCAGGTGTTTGTTTGATTCCAGATTCTATTGTAGAAGAAAAAAACTATTCAGTTACAGTTTGGGCAACTTATATAGATAGTGGAGTAAGTACAGAGTCAATAACAAAAGAATTCGAATTTTATCGAAATTATCCAGTTCTAAGAATATCAGATTCAATCAAAGAAACATATTATCACAATGTTGACAAATTCATTTCAGTTTCAGGATTTGTTTCAGATTATGATTGTGATGATGAAATTGAAATCAAAGGATATATTGAAGGATATTCAAATAGTCAAACATCACAAAATATTTATATTCCAGATTTAAATAATCATTTATTCGAAATTAATATCCCTATTCCTGACAACCTTACAACTGTTGAACATAATCTTCTTATTACATGTTGTGACAATGTTAATAAATGTGATTCATTTAACAAAACGTTTTCTTACGAACTAAATAAACCAGAAATTAGTATTGTTAAATCACCAACATTCCCTGTTTATATTAACAAAGATAAAAATCTTGAATTTGTTCTTTCTGTTTCAGACAAAGATGGAAACAGTAACATCAGAATTTTTCACATTCTCAACGACACTGCAGGAAACAATGTCAACATAAGCTTTTCTAATGATCTTCCAGTTGATGTTGAATATTCAATTCCTATTCCAGATGATATCGATGTTGGTGTTTGTCAACTATGTATCTATGCAGTAGATGAGCATAATCTCTATTCAAAGAATATTTATCTCGATGTAGTATTTTCAAAATTCACATATGATGAAATTAATGAAGATCAAAATCATAAAAAACGCAAAAAGAAACCAATTAAATATTCACCATTCTTTTTTGTTCTCGCACAGAAAGTTTCATAAACATTTCTAATTACAACAAATTAATAATGAATTAATAAATTATATGAAAAAAAATATAAATTATCTGATAATATCAATCAAAGTTCGCTTTGCAGATGAATTATCATAAAATAACAAAATCTATTTTTAACATTTGATAAGAATATTGTTTCGATTTTTGAAAATATTTTAAGTCTATTATCAAATGTTTCTTTTAACCTTGAAATATTGATATGTGTAATTCATTTCAATGAAGGCTTAGCGTACACTTTATAATGTTTATTCATCGAAAATGTTTATCCTTGGAGATCGTAATATTAATATTTTAAATTCTTTATATCAAAAAATAATGATAGAATTTAATAAAAAAGGGTCAAATTATATTTCAAATTTTTAATGGAATTTGAAAGGATATAAAATCGATTCAATTCTATTCAATTTTCATGATCCAATTCTGATTCAGTCTGATTTGGTCATTAAAATGCAAATAAATGGTTAATAATCCTTTATTTTAGAAGTTTAGTATTGTTTAAGTATCTTTCCATTTTTAACTGCAAAGAAAATTTGATAAAAAAAGTGGATCTGTTTTAGACTATTTTTAATGGGAAAATCAGCAAACAATATAATTTTAATGTTATCTGAAAAAAAAAAAAAAAAAAAAAAGGTAGTGGGGCTTCCAGGGGCTGCGCCCCTTCTAGCCCTGAAGATGTTTAGTATAATGAAGTTTTTATTCGGAAAATTGTTAGTCTTGTGGTTCATCTTCTTGAGTAGAGTCTTCTTCTTCAACATCAAAGTCATCTGGTGTATCGAATTGAATGTATGAAAGCCAAATGTTGTATGTGTTTTCCAATTGACTTTCAAACTTGAGATACATTCCATGCATGAGTGTTATTTCAGTTTCAACGTAGAGTTGCTGATGTGGCTTGAAGACATGCATGAGAATTGGTCCTCCAAATTCGTCCTTGAAAAACTTGCAGTAGCAAACATAAACTGAGATAGAGTCTCCTTCTTCAATGTCTTCTGCTTGGTTAACGAAATGAATAGCAATTTTGCGTACTTGAATTGTGTTGTTGTCTGAGTAAAATAATGGTTTGAACTTGGGGTTGAGTGAGCTAAGACATTGCCATTTTGCTGTTTCTTGTCCGTACTCACGTTCTTCTTCGTCATCCTGATATCCGTAACTCTTTAATTTGAATTCGACACAAAACTGTTCGACTTTTTTTGCAGCTTTGGGTGGAAGACTTTCAATAAGCTGACATATAGTTCTGTCAAACACTATCTTTGTTATTGTTGGAAAATAGTTGACAATTGTGTCGCCTAATTCGAATGGGTCAGGTGTTTCTTTTTGTAGTTTGGTAAAGTCTGCAAGAACTTTGTTGAGTTGTTCACAATATTCTTTGTTAAAAGTTGCAGCAACTCTTTCTTCTGGCTTTGAATTGAAGTATTCTTCAGACAATCTGAGTAGTATTTTGCGTAGTTCAGCGTTGCTGTGGTTCTTTGTAATACGGAGCTCGTTTGGTATTGTTTTTGGTAGTGAAAGTGGCTTTGGATTGAGCGAATTGCAGGACAAATTTGAATTTGAATTGTCTGTTCTGCTTGGAGAATGTGTAGATGCTGCAGTTTGATATTGAGGCTCTAAACCTGTGGGCGCTGAAAGTCTGCAAGCAATTTCTTCAGGTGAATTTGGAGCGAACACGCTAGCGAATGCCATTAGACAAAAATAAACTGTTTTTTCGGACTACTCATAGAAAAGTTTAAAATAAACCGTTTTCGTCAACGGTAACCCCCTCTATTTTTTTATTTTATTTAATAGTTACCGTTGGCAAACCGTTCCATCTCAAATATTGAATGAACTATAAACGTTTTTTGTTTTCTATATATACTTTTTTCACCATCGGACAAACTTTTGACAGAAAGGAGCTTACACATACTTTACACTTGTCAAAATATTTTTAACATACGATAGTATATATTTGCTCGAACAAATAATGGTCTATCGTCAACGCTCATAGAGATAGACCCACTTTTCTAAAGTATATATTTGAGTACTTTAAAAAAATATTATAGAACGATATAACAAATATTTTACAAAACTGACAACACTTTGACCGAGTAGTTTTTTGAGCTGAACAAAAAGTGTCATATAAACATCTGTCAAAAACCGCTTTTTAACTTCACTTAAAATGCCACGTAAGCTACGTAAGAATATACGTAAGAGGAAGAGAGCATTGAAACATCCAATAGTAAAACTGACACCACAACAACAGTTGCAACAACAAATGCTGAATGACCCCACTATGTTGCAACAAATGTCAAGCAATCCTATGCTTTTAAACCGAGTCATTGGTGCACAGAGTGGAGGTTTAAGAGCGGCACTTTTAGCGAAAATGGCAGGCTATGGTGGAGCTGCAGACGGAACAGCCTATAACCCTCAAAGTCAAATGAATTTGAGTTCACTCAAAAATCAAATAACAGATGTCAAAAAGTCAAACATAGACATACAGAAGCAAATAAGTGAAAACGAAAAGAAACTAGAATATGACAGACACACAAAGAAACTCAATGAGTTAAACGTAGAGAAAAAGAAGAAAGAAGAACAACTGAAAGAACTAAGTACAGAGGAATATGCGAAAAAAGTGTCAGAAAAAGCAGCAGAAGTAGCAAAAATGGAACAAGATGTCATAAATTTGAAAAACCATACTACTCAATATAAAATACTGAAAGATGAAGAGATAAAACAAAAAGCCCTGAAGACATATATGGATAGCGATGAGTATAAAAAAGAAGTTGAAGCAAATGTAAAGGCAGAAAAACTTTTACAGTTGCAAAACCAAACCGTACAGTATGAAAACTTAGCACAAGAAAGTAAAAATAACGACGCGGCTATGCAAAAGGCAATGAAAAGCGCAGAATATATAAAAGCTAACAATGACTGGTTAGATGCCCAAGCCAACGCTAAAGCAGCCCAGCTTATAGGGTCAATAAGGACAAAAATACAAGCGGATGAAGACAGTTCAAATGAAGCTTTAACAAATGCTGACTTTAAGAACGCCTTCGAAGCTCTTCATAGTAAGGTGAAACAAGTGAACGACTTCTCATCTGGAAAGAAACTGAAGTCTGAAGGTTTCGACAAAGAGTTAAAAGAAGTAGCACAAAATATGACGAAAATAACAGATGCAGCAACGAGACAGGCAGTTCAAAGTGCCTATGACGCCGTTAGAGCAACTGTTGTGAAAAGTCAAGAAAAAGAGTTACAACAGACCAAAACAGACCTAGTAAATGCTTTCTTAAGAACGAAAAGTCAGGTAGGACATTACGCTGCAGATGGAACATATGTGCCAGCTGGTGGAATTTATATACCACCAAACCCTCCAAGAGAAGCACCTGCACCAGGACTACCTAAAACATTTACATCGTCACATGGACACAGACACAGGCATGCACCAAAACCAACACAACAACCAACAGTTCAAAAACCAGCACAGCAACCAACAGTTCAAAATCCAGCACAGCAACCAACAGTTCAAAACCCTGCACAACAACAACCACAAACAGAGCAAGGACATAAAAGAAGTAGAGAACAAGGAAACCAAGAATTCTTAAAAATGCTTAAAGAAGAGTGTGGTTTCCCAGATACTGTTGACTTTAGTGACAGATATAAAGAAGCTATTAGAAAGTTCAAGGATGGAAATACTGACCCGAACCTATTTAGCTTTATGGCTCAGCACCAAAACGGATATAATCTCAAACCTGGAAAATACAAGCTCGCTAAGGGATATGATTTAATAGCATATCATCCAAATGACATGGATGAATTTACTCCGAGATATTTGATGTCAGAGCTAAATGACAATTCAACTTTCGTCATGAAACGCGTAAAAAATAGAGACGGAACGAAAGAACAAAAGCTTATGAATGCGGATGACGTAGATAGGGAAATTGTTGAAAACGGTCTCGGAATATATGAAATGCCAGCAGATGAGGTACAAGAAACTCCACAGGAAGAAGTTCAGATACAACCAGACATGGAAGAAATAGTTCAGCAACAACAGCTAGAAGAGCCTGAAGGAAACGAACAAGTCACTCCTTTGGAAACTAACTTCACAGAACTAGATGAAGATTTGGAACAGCCGAAAAATCTTGACCCTCAACAAGAGTATGCGGAGAATATGGAATATTTCCAAGAGTCTAAAAAAAATTCGGCTGACATAGTAGAAGAATATCGAAAAATGTTTGCCGACATACAAAAGACTCCAGCACCAGATGAAAATATTCAGCATAGAATGGAAGTACTGAAAGAAAATGTACACAAATACAACAACCCTTTTTACTTACGAGCATTTAACGTTCAATCTTCGGATGAACTCGGTGAAAATAAAAGGTTAAATTTCAAGAAAACATATAGAAATGAAACATTGTTTAAAGTTCATTCAGAACCTAACCAAGATGGAAACAAACCTACTTTTGTTTCTGCAGACGATGGAACTACAATGAGATGGGGTCATAAAGCTAATCCAGATAGGTGGTTCATAAACTTACAACCTCAATTCCAAGAAGTTGTAGACGCAATGGAAGAGAATGGTGAACCAGATATAGCTGGTATTTTCAGCGCGGCTTTAATGCCATTGAAAGATATGAAACATGCAGATATTTTGGACCAGTATGAAATGAACATGGCTGATGGAAATATAACACCTGACGTTCTAGAACATTTATCTCAAAGAACTACACAGAACCATAAAGATGGTATATTTGGTGAAGAGTTTAGAAAGAAAGTTAGGGAGAGAGAAGGAAGAGAACCTATTGTACATGACCTTGCAAACGAAAGTTTACAAAATGTCATAAAAACTTACTTTGCAGACAATGAACCGAGAAGGGATGAATATTTAAGAAAACTCAAATGGACAGTACCAAATGAAATGTTAGTATTGAAAAACATGTTCCTTGACAAAATAAAACCAACTACAGAAATAAACGACGCAAGACTGAAAGATTGGGTAAAAGCTTTCCCATTCACAAAAGATATAGTTGGTAACATGGAAAGAAAACCAGAATGGCTACAAAAACATATATTTGGAAACGAGCTTATTCCATATGGACAAGCTCTGTTTGAAGAGCTTGAACCAGAAACTCAGGAAAGAGTCATGCAAACAATACGCAAAGACTCAAATACAGACTATGACAAACTCTTTCTAGGATATAGGTTACCTGAGATGGGCGACCAGAGCCAAAAGGCAAAAAGGACATGGGAAATTTGCAACATACTAGATGAACATAATGCAAAGATGCAACAACTTCAAGCAGAGGGCAATGAAGGAAAAAGAAGAGTTAAAAACTCAGTCAGGAAGAAAGTAAAGCTTGGTCCACGTGGGTTCTATTATGACATATAAATCCAACTATTCTATATTTTTACTCATATGAAATGTACGCCGCTCAGAATATAACGCCAACAGTTTTGGATGCTATGAATGGAAATGTTTCCGAATGGTATAACGAATGCGACAATGCCATTAGAAGGTCAGAAATAGTTCCTGGAACTTACGAATATACAACTGCTGTTTCTTATGGAAACGTAGGTGAGTTTGGAGAAGGTTCTTCAACAACAGTAGATATTGCTTGCGACAGGTTTCATATTATTTCTATTGACAACTCATTCTTATACGTGGAACAAGACATTGAAATAAAACCTTCTGCCAAGTTGTCTGACAAGAAAGGTTGCAATGGAATTTTCTATGTCGGATACCAATATGCTCCAGAAGTTTTCATGGGATATAAGATATATTCTAACTCTGACTTAGTTCAAACAGTAACATGGGCAAACTATGAATGGTTCGCTTTGAGAAACTCAGTACAACCACAAGCTAGAGAACAAACAGACCAGTATGCAACTATTGAGAAAATAAGAAGACTTGACCCTAACGTTCCAGGAGTTTATGTTAACCTTTCTGGTTCAGATGGAAATGCTGTCACTAAAGTAAAACTGAAACTTAGAGTTCCTTTGTCATCTTTCCTCATCTTCAGGTTTTTAAGATACTTGCCAAACTGGGCAGGAAAAATTTCTATCGAACTTACTAAAATAACTTAGTCATTGCACCAACACAAGACCCATTCACTCTTACAGACGTAAAGGGAGCAAATAAAATGTCATTCGCCGACTTTTGCAAAAACAAAGTTGACTTAGACTTTGGTTTCTCAAACCTCAACACTGAAGTAAACTATTATTTCAATGCTGCTGGAGATGCTTGGGACCCAGTTAAGTTCACATGCGAAAAATTTGAATGCAAGAGAATAGAAAGCAGACTTGCAGTCTATATGTTGGACCCAGATATTTTGCTTTAGCTGCCAAATATATTGCAGTTCCACTTATGTTCCCTATACACCAAATATCTGTCAAAGACTTTGCAGGTGAAGTTGGAAACCAAAGTGCTGACCCAGGTGCAAGAACAGATATTGCTTTAACAACTGCATGATACTATGTTTGTACTGTTCAGACGAACTATAAATGACTATTCTTGTTTCTACAACCCTGGTATTAAATATCATATAAACATAGATGGCAAATATTATCCAAGAGAAGAATATTCTACAGTTGAGGATATGAGGTCATACAACTTGACATTAGATGCTATGAACTTTAACAACAACTTCACAACAACCATTAACCCTGAAATGCAAAGTTCTATTATGCCATATGTGAAAGTATGGACTCATACAGGAGGTCAAAAAACTCAATATACAAATGGAGACCGTTCAAACTTTTGGCTTGGCATTCCATTTGCTGACTCAGAAGACTTTATGGGTGGTATTTCAACTGTTGGTACAGTTCAAATACAATATACTGGTGACAGAGACGGTCCAGATGAACTGAGAGCAAAGAAGTTTACAAAACCAATAGCACTTTTCACAGAAGATGCTCTTTTGAAGATTCGTTCGATGAAACCTGCTGGGGCTCCTCAGATTGGTATAACGACAGCTTCCATCGAGCAGATTTTGGCAGCAGGTCAGTAAGTTGTTCTTGAACTGACTTCTCTCCGTCAAATATTGACAGTACGCCAGTTTTGACATAGTATTGTATTAAAAACTTACCTTTAGAAATATCGGTCAGTTTTGTTGTTATATTTTTGTCTGCTTCAAGAACTTTCACCATCTCGGTTATACCAACTTTCTTTGCTTTATGAAAATATTTTGGTTCAGCAAAGACTGCTATTCTATAACATTTTCCATTGTTTGTGTAAAGAACTATTCTGTCAATGAACTTGTATTGTTTGTGTGTGTAAACTTTGTTCTGCTTCAATTCGAAGAGATACTCAAATACGTCCATCTTTTTATTCTAAGTAAAATGTCATTTCCGAAAAATAGAAGCGTAAGTGTTTCAAAAGGTTTAATGGCGGTGGCAGATGTGAAGTTAAATTCACCAACTCAAACAAACAGTCAAAGTGTTGTTGTCAATGTCAAAGAAAGAGATGTTGAAGTGGGGAAACCATACGAAGACGAAGATGGTATAACAATAGTTCCTGTAAAAGAACAACCAACATATCCTGAAGTTAGCAGAGACTTAAGTTCTGTTGCAGATATTCGAAATGACTACCAACAACTGAAAGACAAACTTCAAACTCAGGAGAAGATTTGTCAAGCTTTAGGTATAATGTTAAACTTGGTCGAACACAACCCTGTAAAAGTGAACTCATATGTCATCGCACCTCGTGAAGTTTTGAAAGAACTATTGAAACTTTTGACAGAGGCAGACGATATAAACATCAAAGAAATAGAGCCCGACATTGCTTGCTGTGGTGTTTCATATAATGTCATTGACAAGATATACGTTATGAAAGGAGGTGAAACGTTGAACTTAAAATATAGTTTCCCAGACGTCATAAAAATATTTGACGACCACAACATTTCATTAAAATTTACTTGCTAAGTAAATGGCAGAAGACATAGTGGTTTATACTATTACGACTAAAAACCCTGAGTCATATAATTCTATAACAACAAACTTACAAAGTCCTCAAGGACGATATTGTAAACTAACCTTAAACACAATGACGACTAAAGCCTGTTTTGCTCTTTTGACACCAGAAGACTTTATTGTTGTGAATGGTAAAAAATACTCCTTTGAAGATACTTACTCAGATATACCACCAACAGGTTTTGTTGACTTATTTAATACTTTAAGGACGGATGTAACATGTGCTGCAACTAGAGCAGGTTTCATTATGTTTGGATGTCCGACTGAGTTTACTATAAACGATATGAGCTATAATACAAAACTTATTTCTGGTTTTTACTACCAACAGTTTCCTATAACAGGAAAAGGTGTCATACAAGGTCTATCTATTCCATTGACTTTAAGCACACCTATTTTATATATTGTTTCAAACTTAGGTTCAAAGTGTTATTCGAATGTCGACAGAAACTATTATGACCAAAAGATACTTATGCGTATAAACAATACTTTCTCTGCTGGTTTGCCTATTGTTCATTCGAATGCAGAATTTTCAACCTTAGTGAACTCAAACACTTTGGCAAGTATAACGTTGACATTAGTTGACGCAAACTTTGTTCCTGTAAAACTTTTATGTCCTATGTATTTGTCAATGACGGCAGAAAGTTTCGAATTGGAAGATGCAACTGGTGAAAGTATTGTATTACAAGAACAACTTCAACAACAAATAGCTCAAGAACAACAAATGCAACAAATGGAACAAATGCAACAACAAAGTCAAGAATAAAAAAATATTATTTTTTTTTTTATTTTTATAAAAATGTACAGAATAGATGTTTCAGATTTTTATGACTTCCAAGCGTTCAGAAATATGTGTCCATTTAGAGACTATAACAAAGCAGTCGAGAATTTGAAACGTTTAGTCATTTATGTTGACTCTGCCCCAGAATGTTATGTCATGAAAGAATGGGATGTTGTCTTTAACAAACCAAGAGCGACAATTGTGTCTGAACAAGAATGTAGACAGAAACTTAAGAAAATAAAAGTCGTACAAGTTGGCATGAAGATGTTAGATGCTTGGGATATCTTATTGTCAAAACTTGAAGATTTTTCAGTTCGTGGTATAAAGTTTTATACACCTTCTCCAAACTTCTATTCTATCTTCACTGGATATAAATATGAACAAGTAGAATGGAAAGAAAATATTATAGAAGCTTGGTTAGACCATGTCAAAGAAATTATATGCAATGGAAACGAAAGAGTCTATGAGTATATCTTATGTTGGTTTGCAAACATCTTACAACATCCAAGTGCTAAAAATGAAACTGCTCTCATTATAATTGGAAAACAAGGAACAGGTAAGAATACTTTCTTTACAGATATTTTGTGCAAACTGTTAGAAGGTTATTCGAATCCGAATATGACAAACTTAGAAAACATCTGTGGCAAGTTTAACTCCTCAATAGAGAATATGAAACTTATAGTTTGCAATGAACTTCAAAGTATAGATACAACAAAAGTTTTGAACTCAGATGCTTTGAAGAGTCTTATAACAGACAAAGTTGGAGTTGTTGAAAGAAAATATAAAGACCAAAGAGTTTGTGAAAATGTTGCAAACTTCATTATGGTTTCAAACAATACTGTTCCGATGAAGTTAGAAAGTTCTGACAGAAGATATGTAGTTGTCAGAACGTCAGATTCTCATATGCAAGATACAGAATATTTTGACGACTTAGCAGAAACTTTGACATCTGACTTTTACAACCACTTGTTCTCATATTTTATGACATTAGATATTTCTAAGTTCAATCCAAGACAAATTCCATATACCGAAGAGAGACAAACATTGTTAGAAGCAAACAAGAGTGTATATGAACTGTTTATAGATGAAACTGACTTTGTGTCATTAGATGAAAGGTCATTGTACGATGAATATAAACAATATTGTCAAGAATATGGTTATATGGCAGCTTCTAAACGAACATTCTTGGCAAATGTCAAAAATCTTTTAGATGTTCAGAACGGCGTATATACAAAGAAATAATTTTTATGAGTAAATTTAAAAAAAATATTTTTTTTATCCGATAGAAAAGATGACGAAATATATTTCAGTCAACAAATATATGTCAGGACTTAAAGAAGAACTAGACCCATTCGCTTATTTGAATGTTTACTTCTACCATTTTGAAAAGTCTTCATTCAGCAAAGTTTGGAACATCGAACCAGTTAAGTTTGCTATTGTGACTAAAAATGGTGCGAAATTTGAAGACTTAGACATAGAAGGTTTGTTAGCAGTCAAAGAAAATTTTGACAGAAGGTTCTCAAACCTTAAAGAAGGCAAAGCATACAAACTTGTTATACCTTATGAACCAAAGAAAGCAGACGACTATGAATATTATGAGTCTAAGATAGTTGAAGTTCAAGGTAAATTGGGTAAAAAGATTTTAGAGTCTAAGCCAGTGTTTGCTCCTAAAGAGGAAGAGAACATTGACATTGACCCAGAAATGTTCTAAAAATAAAATTTTATTTTTACATGTCAAATTTCTTTTTCTCTGGCTCTGGTTCAGGTTCAGGTTCTTTCTTCTCTTCTACTTTTTTCTCTTTCTTTCCTTTCTTCTTCTTCTTCTCTGGTGGAGTTATGTCAAATTTGGCGCAACCATATTTATGTAAAAGTTCTTTGTCCTTTAATAGCTCATCTATTCTGTTTTCTATTTCATCTTCAAGAACAGCGCATGTGCCTTCTTTGCATTCTAAGAACTTTTGTTGGACTTCATCTCTCCAAGAGGCGTCATCTCTGTCAACAAGTCTGTCATTGACAAATTTTAAGACTTCTCTGCTTAATGTTTTATGGTTCTTGTCATATTCCCAGAAACAGAACTTTAGAACAAATTCACCTTTCTTGTTTACACTATGTAAGATTTTATGGTCGACAGATGTTTTGCTGTCGAAAAGCTTGTCTCGAATATAGATGGCGAAATCACTAGACATTTTCTAAAAGATAAAAATTTTAATTTTTCTAAAAATATGTTAGAAAAAAAGTTTGCTGACATTGACAAGAAATTTGAGAATGTTTTAAATAAGAACAAGAGGAAGTTGGAAAATGCTCAGATAAAACCCATACATGACAAGTTCTTATTTGCTCAGAATGGTATAACAGGTCTAATTGCACCGCCTGGGTCGGGTAAGACTTTCACTTATCTTAAAATGGCTGCACAACAACAAGAACTAGATGAGAAGAACCCATTCTATGAGTTAGTTGTCATTTGTAGTACTTCTGGTCAATTTGACCAAACCGTCAATTCGTTCAAAGATATTATAAAGAAGTCTAAGTTAGTATGTATAAAAGACTCTGAGTTGTTAGATTGGATAAAGAAGTACCAAAGAAGAGTTTTGAAGTACATTGCTATAAATGAGTATATAAATTCGAAGTTTAAAGACCCAAATGAGGAAATGCAGAGAATATTAGAGAAGAAACACTTCAGAAACAAACAGAAAGAGATAGAATACATTTCGAAGAAATTGCAATCTTACGATTGGAAGACTTACCCTCATAGATGTCTTCTTATCTTAGATGACTTTGCTTCTCATCCTTTGTTAAAGAACAGAGAACAAGATATGTGTCGAATTCTTAAGAAGCTCAGACACTTTAACATTTCAGTTGTCATTTGTGTACAGACAGCAAAGAGTTTAAGTAAGGATGTAAAGAGAATACTTACTGACATTATACTTTTCCCTGGATTGTCCGAAGACGATTTCATGGAACTTATGAAAGAGTCCATGGCAGGTAAGTTTGACAGACATGAACTATGGAGAAGTACAAAGTCATACAAGACCCTCATACTTCTTTCAGAATTCATATCTACGCGAACAAAGTTCAAATTGTAAAAAGTCAAGCTTGAAAAATAAAGAGTTTAGTCTTAGTCTGTTGTGGTGCTGGGGCTGTCGGTTCTTCTGGCTTTGGAATGGACTCGGTTGGTGGTACGTCGGACATTGTCTTGAAACAATAAAAGACTTGTCTTGAAAAAGTAAAAGACTTGTCTTGAAAAAGTAAAAGACTTGTCTTGAAAAAGTAAAAGACTTGTCTTGAAACAATAAAAGACTTGTCTTGAAAAAGTAAAAGACTTGTCTTGAAAAAGTAAAAGACTTGTCTTGAAAAAGTAAAAGACTTGTCTTGAAAAAGTAAAAGACTTGTCTTGAAAAAGTACGGGTATCGTCTGAAATCAAGACCACTGTTCTCAAATTTGAGAACTTTACACCAAAAAATTTCTTGAAAAATAACGGGTCTTGTCTTGAAAAAGTAAAAGACTTGTCTTGAAAAAGTAAAAGACTTGTCTTGAAAAAGTAAAAGACTTGTCTTGAAAAAGTAAAAGACTTGTCTTGAAAAAGTAAAAGACTTGTCTTGAAAAAGTAAAAGACTTGTCTTGAAACAATGACCGAGATAGACCCAGCAGATGAGGCAATTTACCTTATAGAGCTACCTGAGCCATCTGAAGTCAAGCGTAAAAATAAATGGTTCATCTACCCTACTTGTTTGAAGTTGTCAAAATACTCTGTTATTTTTTCCTTTAACAATGGCAAATCTTCTTTGAAGGTAAGTATTGTACAACCTTTCATATCATAGTGTGTTTGAGGTAACGTATCTTGAACTATCTGTTTAACATCTTCATTTGGGGTCATTGAAATCGGTAAGTTTTCGCGATAGAACCAATTTCTGTCAGATTTGTAAATCTTAGCAAGGTCGTAAAAGCTTTTGTTGTTTCTTCTGACTAAATGCAACATAACCATATCTCTGTCTTCTTCATTTTCCATCTCTTCAGTATAAATCATATACTTATAGTTCTTTTCCTTTCCTTTTGGTACCGAACGTGGTATTCTTTTCTGAATGCTTTTGTCTTCTTTCATCATATCTTCTCTCTGCTTTGTACAAAGTTCGTCAAGTAGCATAAGTATGTAGATTGCATAACGAGGTGAAGCCCACATTGCTATTGAACTAACTAGGAACTTATGAACATATATACCTTTTAGATGTGATGGTAAGTTTTGTCTGTCTTGGTACATCTTTTTAAGTTCTACATGTTCAAACTCACTGAGGAGTTCATGAGTGCTATTTAATTCAAACCAATCTTGTGGTTTCATAGTATCTGGAGCAAAACATGCTGTCAAAATACTTTGCATTTGGTACATATCGTCTTTGACCGAACGAATGAGACGTAACTGTTTGTTAAACTGAACCCACTCATATTCTTCATTTATAGCTTCATGGACTATAACTGTTGTTGTGTTCTCTGTTGTTGTCATATCTGTCCTTACATACAAAATAAAAAAATAAATAAAAATAAAATTAGCGTTATTTTTTCTGTCTTAAGGAAATTTCACTGTTTTCAGATTTTTGTGCTGAATTCAATAAAAATATATTTTAGGGTAGAAGGTTAGATCTAACCTGTCTTCTACCCTCTTTTCTACCCCAGTTATTTTATAAGCGTTTTACATGGTAAACGTTATTTTTACATGTATTTTTCAGCAACTTCGTCAAATAATTTTATAGCTTTATCTATCTCATCTACTTCAAACGTTTCTTTACCTTTTATGGGAGCACCATACATTTTCTCAAACTTTTCAAGTAGTTCTGTTTCTGCAGCTCTCATATCATTAACTAACACAACCTTGACTATATTGACTGTACTGTCATATCTTAGAGTTATATTATATGTCCTTCTATCTTATATCTCTTTGTATTGAAGTCCTTCGGTTTCTGAACGATGTAAAGTAAGCCTTCACTGCAAACGT